TGAGACTTTCTACGCAGACAACCATGTCATATGCAAATAGTTTGATTTTCTTTTTTCTGATCTGCATCCTTTTTATTACCTTTCTTAACTTATTATATTGGATTTTGTAGGACAATATTAAATATGAGTAGTGGAAAATGACACTCATGACTTGTTCTAGAACTTAGAGGGAAAACGTCTAGTGTTTTACTACTACATATGATGTTTTATGTAGGCTTTTGGAGATGACCCGTATTAGGATAAGTCCCTTTCCATTCCTAGTTTTCTAGAAGTTTATATCATAAATGGATGTTAAATTTTGTTAAATGCTTTTTTTTTTGTCTTGGTGAAAAATGTATATTTAGATTCAACCAACTGAACTCAGTTTTAATAATTCCAATTGTGTTGGCTATATCCAAGGCCTCATAGTCAGGAGCAAGTCAAATGAATGTCTTCTTCTCTCCATCAGGCCTGATCAAGGTGTTGGCACTGGTCATGTCAATGTCATAGAACGTTTTCACAGCCTGTTTGATCTGGTACTTGTTGGCCTTGACATCCAAAATAAACACAAGTGTGTTGTTGTTGTCCTTCTTCTTCATGACCAACTCAGTGGTCAAGGAAAATTGCTGATGGCATAGTGGTCAAGCTTCTTTCTCCTGGGGACAAACTTCCAAAAAATATGTGGGCTGCCTCCAAATCCAAAGTATTTTGGGTGACTGGAAGATGGGTGACATGTGGACCTTCTCTTTTTGTGTGTCTATAGACACCTTTCAGTACTGCCTTCTTGGCTTTCAAAGCCTTTGGTTTGGCTCTGTCCACTGGGATCTCTGACCTTGAGGGACACCAATCTGATGCCAGTAGGAGTGCTCCTGTATAGGGTATCTGACAACCCCTGTTGGAGGGTCTTACCCAGTTGGGTGGCAAAGGGAACAGAACCCATTTAACAGCACACTTTGGCTGTCCCTTGGTGGAGGAGGTGTGCTATGCTGGGGGGAATCCCATTCGTCTGGGCTGCCCAGATTCCTCAGAACTAGCAAGAGGAAAGACTAAGTCTGCTGGTCCACAGAGATTATGGCCACCCCTTCCCCTAGGGGCTCAGGGAGATCAGAGTTCTGTCCCTGAGCCCCTGGCTGGAGTTGTTGGAGTTCCTGCAGGGAGGCCCCACCTGGTAAGGAGAGATGGGTAAGGGTCAGGCCTGAAGAGGCACTCTGGCTGAAGTCTGCCACAGCTGGTGTGTTGGGCTGTGGGGAATACCACTTGAGACCAAACTGTCCAGCCTCCCTGGCTCCAGCAGAGGAAAAGTGCAGCCTAGAGCTATAGAGATGGCTGCTGCCCTTCCCCTGCTCTTGGATCTTAGTGTGTTAGGAAGCTAACAGTCCCAGTGTTGGCTGCCACCCCTCCCCCAAGGAGTTCAGAGAGCTTAGACATCAGCTTAAGCAGATTCTAGCTGAGTGGCTATTGAGAATCTGCGTGGCTCTGTGGTTTGGACCCCAGGCCTCAGTGGTGTGGGCTCATGAGTGGAATCTTCCAATCCGTGGGTTGCACAGTTCCATGGAAACAGCACGGTTTCCCGGGCTGGGTAGCATGCTCACTCACCACCTCCCTTGGCTGGGGGATGGGGGCTCCCCTGCCCCATGTGGCTCTCAGGTGGGCTGTCATACCACACTGCTCTTCCTTCTCCGTGGGTCATGCCAGCCGCCTAGTCGGTCCTGATAACAGAAACCTGGACACTTCGGTTGCCAGTGCAGGATTCGCCCACTGTTTGGGTTCTTTTGGATGGGAGCCTCCTATCACTGCTGCTTCTAGCCGACCATCTTGGCCCACAGCTGTTGTCCTTGCTTCAAATTCACTGATGCTTCTTCCCTCCAGGCTGAACCTATAATGAGGCTTTTGAAGGAATTATTCATTTCTGTCTCATATTTTTCATTACTAGTGTTTCTTTTTCTGGGGGGGCGGAACGGAGTCTGGCTCTGTCACCCAGGCTGGAGTGCAGTGGCGCTATCTCCGCTCGCTGCAAGCTCCGCCTCCCAGGTTCACGCCATTCTCCTGCCTCTCCTCCCGTGTAGCTAGGACTACAGGCGCCCGCCACCACGCCCGGCTAACTTTTTTTTTTTTTTTTTTGTATTTTTAGTAGAGACGGGGTTTCACCGTGTTAGCCAGGATGGTCTTGATCTCCTGACCTCGTGATCCTCCCGTCTGGGCTCCCAAAGTGCTGGGATTACAAGTGTGAGCCACCGCGCCCGGCTAGTGTTTCAATTCGACTCATTTTTATAGTTTCTACCTCTTTGCTGATATTACCCATACAATCTTGCATGTTGTCCACATTTTTCCATTAGCATCTTTACTATATGAATCACAGTTAAATTCCCTGTCAAATACTTTCAACATCTGTGTCATATCTGAGTTTTATTCTAATTAATCCTTGCTCATCTTATTGTGTTACTTCCTGCCTTCTCATATGTCACATGGTTTTTTTGCTGAAAGCTGGATTTTGGTGTCCCATTTGTGTCCAACTCAAGTGAGTGCTCACATCTTCACTCTCTCTGTAGGCACCGTCTCTCTTTATATTTTCAGCCAATTGCTTGTCCTGCATCCAATGGATTTTAAAAGAAAGTTGCAAACTTGAAGTCTGACTGCTTTTCCTTGTTGTACTCAAGTGTGTATAGATATTTTACTTTATTAAAATTTAAATAAAAAGATTCTTATTATTACTAATATCCATGAAATATACATCACTTTGACAAAAATTAAAAAGTGTTGCTTAGTCTATGAATTAACAAGATTCTTATTCACTGTAAATGGGAGTATGATTTGGTAAAATAACTCTGGAGAGCAATTGGCTATATTCATTAAAGTTGCAAAAGCATATACCCTTTGATCTGGCAATTCCAGTTCTATATAAACTTCACTACTTCTTACATGTGCAAAAGAATGCATTTATCATTTTGTAAAAGCCATTGAATGCATTTATCATTTTGTAAAAGTCATTGATAATGACCATCAACAAAGAAATCAAGTTTTTTTAATATAATGGAATACTATACATAAATTACAATGAATGAACTAATTTACATGCATTAAAATAGATAAATCTTAAAAACAATGTTCAGTGAAATTAGCAGGTTGTGAAAGGATTTGTATAATATACCATATTTATAAAATAGGAAAGCATCCAAAATAATTTTTTGTATTATTATTATCTCATGCCTATGTTTTAAAAAGTATAGAGACATGCCTGATGATGTGTCCTACCAGCTACAGGACAGTGATAACCTCTGGTGAGAAACAAAGGGAGGGAGGGGAAAATTAGGAGGAGTGATTTATTTATATCTGAATGTTTTACTTTTTAAAAATTCGATATAAAGAAACATCAGGTAAATATGGATTATTGGCACATGGATATGTCCTATATAGTTTTATGTATATTTACAATACTTCATAATTAAACATTTTAAAGGAATTCATTTTATATTATTTCTACATGAATTGTTCTGGCCTAATTAGAGATAGTTTCTTTCAAACCACTTGGACCTACCTCAGGAAAAAAAATCCATACCAGCTATTTTTCAAACAGGTTAGTAAGAATAAAAGGGGAAAATATAAAAGTCTCACTAGCGTACAAAATTCTTCATTGGGGCAGGTGCCTCCCATCAGGTACCAATTATCTGGGAGGTAACGTTAGTCCTCAGCTTTTGTGAAGTTCACTATCAGGTGTCTCCCCTGTGAATGTTTGCAATTGTTACTCTAAGTGGTGGAGTGACAGTTTTGGTTCTACATTACCTTCTGCTAGTGACGTCCTTAGGCATCTATAACTTTTAAGTTGCTATTGCATCCAGGTAAATTTGGAGAGATTTAAAGTTGATAAAGACATACATACTGGATTTATATTTTAATTATGCTATTTTTCAAACATCTCATCATAGTGCATGTTCCTAACACTAGACTTTAGGTAACAGTATATTTTGGGATATGATGAAATGCAAAGATGCAATGGGAATCAAGAGTTATATTTAAAAGGCTTTTGCACAGGACTTTTAAGTAGCCTGCAGAACTGCAAGCACATGGGTAAATTTCCTTTCATATGTGAAAACCTCATTTCTCAGTTCATATGAATCCTTAACATCTCTGTTTGATCATATGGGTATGCAGTTCCATCATAAACTAGCTACATGTCCCTAAATGCCTCTTGGGAGGATATACAGTGACATTACATTATAGGGATTTAACATGAGAGTATAAAATGATGTAAATTAGTGCTGTGGCTAAGATGTATTCCCATTAAAATCATTACAAAAAAGAGATATTTAGAATTAATATTTGTTCCTTTCAAATGCATGAATTTAATGAATATGCTTACAAATATACAATGTCTTTTTGATAACTATTGGTACAAATAAGGGTCAGGGTAATAAACCTGAGTGAGGATGGAGAATTAGGCATGGAATGGCTATGTACAGCTGAAGATTCCACTTCCATCTCCTTATTTCCATATTTACATAGAGGAATCTTAAAAGTTTCTAGGCAAGCTTTACAACTGTCTCAAGAAAAACAAAAAAACATGAGAACAGTTTATGGCCCCAAATTGCTTCTGATCATCTTAATTTTGAAATCTTATATTCCATTACTTAGTACACAGGCAAGTAGAACTTCTTGTAAATATTTCAATCTTGCTGATTTGGGAAAATCAAAAAATTTAATATAATCTTTTATTAACATAGAAAGTTAGCATTTTAATCAGTATAAAACAGTAATGCAATGTAATAAAGAACAATCAAGTTGAAATAAACACCTTCAGTATTCAGTTTTTACTCAAAGTACTTGCTGAGGTATAGTGCTGAAGTCTGAATGATTTTTTCATTAAATGTGTTCCCAATTCTGAGTGAACATGAAACAGAAAGTATACAATTAAAACTATTATCTATTGTTGCGTGTATCAAATTCCAACACAGTAGAGATATGCCTATACAGAAAAAGAAGTATTTATTATCTACAATAATCAAATTAATTGAAAATTTCCAGATCTCTATTTCTTTGTCTCTCCTCTCTGTATATACAATTTGAGGAATGATAGAGCACCCCATAAACAGGCTCTCAACAAGTCTATTTTTATCTAGGGAATTGATTCATACATTAATTTTGAATGTATTTTACAGGAAGAAAGCTAGACTGAGCTATAACACTATAAGCTTTTACCTGCTTTTAGCATGTTAGTGCATTTGGCATGTTGTGCATTCTCTCATTTCTGCAGCCCTAGGTGATAAAACAAAAATTGGCCAGTCATTGATGAAGCTTTTTATGGATTTTCTGCTAGTGTGTCTCTCACTAAGAGAGACACTTTGGAAGATAGTTATCAGACACAGTCCTGATGCCCCAAGGCTTACTACATTGACACAAAAGTGACCTTTCTATGCCATTCAAAGACTTTTCCAGAAAGATCAAACCACCTGAACAAGTGGGGAGAATAGTTCTGACCTTGAACAATGTCAAGTTGTAATCATTACTCTCAGCACTACTACATATCAATGGAAGGTTTTATTATCCGTGGTCATCAAATCTACTTTTTCTGAATTTCTTTGGGGTGACTGATACATAATTTCTGCACTGCAAAGCTAACTTTATCTACTTATTGAGTCAACTAAATGGAAAGTGAATCATATATTGTGTTGCTACACTTCTTTAGGTACTTTGCAAGTATTATTCATTTAATTCTCACAACAAATATGAATTAATTTGAATATCCTTATTCTGTGAAATACTTAGAGAAGCCTAAGACCCCTTCTGACTGCTAAAAAGTGGGATTCAAAGCCAGGTATCTTAATGCCAAAGTTCATTCATATTCTAATTCTTTTATATTCCCATATAAGGGCCAAGTCATAATTTGGAAGAATTGTGATCATTGACTTTTAATTTTGAAAAAAATATGTGTTTATAACATTTACTGAGCACTTGTTACAAGTCACACAGTCTTCTGAAAACTCTGGATGAGTCCCCTCATTTGATCCTCATGAAAACCTTGTAAGCATTGCAATTGCTCTCACACTGCGTATCAAGAAACTAACAGCTAAAGAGGACCAGTAAATCACCCAGGGTCGAGAGTTAAAGAAGGCTTCAAGTTTACATGCTGTTGGATTAAGGAGCCCAAATTCTTAGTAACTGGATGAAACTGAAATCAGGAATGATATTACAAAACCATCACACTTTTGATCCATTGTTTTCATATTCATATATTTACCTATTTTATAATTATCACTTTATACAAGACATTATGGAATGGTCTGGGTTCACAAAGAGAAATAACTGAAATATCTATGTTCTAAGAATCTGTGTTCTACCAAAAGAAATAGTAAATACTGATTACAATGTTCTTTGACAGACATATACAGAGATTAATTATGGGAGGGCATCTAATACAGAATGAGGGAATATAGAAATATGATCTGAGTCAGAGACATAGCAGGCATTTATTCATAACACCTCTTTGTAAAAATGTAATACATATTACATGCTTATAATATTCATATTATCTTTCTTCTAGACTTTTGATTTAATATTAAGAAAACATTTGCAATATAAACTTTGTCTAGATATACTGACAAATCTAGCTAAATTATTAGCCTGTTCTCACACTCCTCATGAAAAAATCATTACAGTTTTCTTTTACTCTATTGAATAATGTGATATTTTATTCTGAGCTGGATGAGAGGGAGCTGTCAGTTTGTTCTTCTCTAGAGAATGCACTTGATTTGATGCCCTAGATTGGGAATTGAGAAATCCAATATACTTGGACATTTCAGTTCAGAAAATACCTGGCTAAACAGTTCTCTTTGCTCCTGTTGCAATGATTGAAACATTGGCCTTTATTATGAGCAATAACCTGGGCAACGTGGCAAAAGGGTGCATCAATGCATTAGGATAACAACCTTTTGGCATCTTGAACTGTCAGGTTTAATCCTTAAGGAGAATGATATAGGGAAGAAAAATAGGCCTTTTATTAAATAATACAAACCGAAGTGGTTGACCTCTTAGTGATTAACTAGGTTTACACACAGGAGTAGTATGGGACTGGACCAAAAAATACTGGGTTGGTCTGATTTTCCTGGGGCAGGTAGATGGTGAACAAGCTCTGTGTCTGCCAGCCTTACCCAGAGTGACTCATAACTACTGACTCTTAGTTTCTTCCTTATCAGTTATGGTCATGTAGCATCCTTTATAAAGTTTCCCACATACTTGGCATATTTCTGTACTCCTACCTTTTAGAGCCTTGCTGTTATCTTACTGTGTGCATATTTTCTTCCCTTCATTCACTGAATCCCTCCCTTCAGTCAGTTACTGGGACACAGAATAATGTTTCACTATGAATTAAAAGGGCAGTTTTCTGCTGGCATAACAATAAATCAGTTTAACATTTTTCCACCCTAGTAAGATGGTCCAGCATTAAAGACAGGTCATTATAGTGAGTATAAAGAGAAAATGATCTCCACTTCTTTGAGAACTTACCACTTACGTGTTGTTTGCTCAAACTCTGGCACTTCAGGAATGACAGTCAAAGTGTTTCTGAAACCATAAGATATAAAAATGTCTAGGGCTTTATTTTTTTATCTGTTGCATTAAAAAATTAATTAAATGGAATCAATTCCTTGACAGATGCAATCTGCCAAAACTCACACAAAAAGCAATAGACACTCTGAATAGGCCTATATTTGTTAAATAAATTGAATCAATCACTAATAGCCTTCCAAAACAGAAAGTACCAGGCCCAGATAAGTTTGCGGATAATTCTATCAAAATGTAAGAAATAAATGATATCAATTTTCTACTCTATTTTCCAGAAATTATAAGCTGAAGGAATACTCTATAGCCCATTCTATCAGGCAGGCATTACACTACTACCAAAGCTTGACAAAGACATTACAAGAAAACAAAATGACTAGCAAATCAAATCCAAAGATATATCAAAAGAATTATACACCACAACTAAGTAGAATTTATTCCAGGTATGTAAGACTTGCTCAACATTTGAAAATCAATTAACGTAATTCCTTACATCAACAGGGTACAGAAAAAATATCACATGACCCCATCAATGGATGCAGAAAAACATTTGACAAAAACCAACATCCACTCATGATAAAAACTCCCAGTAAATTAGGAGTAGAGGAGAAGTTCTTTAACTTGATAAAGGAATATCCACAAAAAAATCTATAGCAAACGCCATGCTTAAGAGTGAACAACTCAAAGCTTTACCACTAAGATCAGGAATAAGGCAAGCATGGGGCATCTCACCACTCCTTTTCAACATTGTATTGGAAGTCCAGCTAAGAAAACAAGACAAAAAAGAAAACAAAAGGTAAATAGATTATAAAGGAGGAAATTAAACTGTCTTCGTTCACAGACGACATGATTGTCTATGTAGGAAATATGAAAGAGTTGACAAAAAATACTTTGAAACTAATAAGAGATTATAGCAAGTTTGCAGAATCCATGACTAGTGTGTAAAACCCAATCACTTTCCTATATGCCAGTAATGAACAAGCGAAATTTGAAATAGAAAAAAATTACATTAGCATCCCCAAAACATGAAAACTTAAGTAGAAATCTAATAAAATATGAATATGATCTATATAAGAAAAACCACAAAACATTGATGACAGAACCCAAAGAACTACTAAATAAATGGAGAGATGTTCCACTTATGGATCATGTATAGAAAGACTCAATATTGTCAAGATGTTAGTTCTTCCTAAGTTGATCTATAGAATCAATACATCCCAATCAAAATCCCAGCAAGTTATTTTGTGGATATCAACAAATTGATTCTAAAGTTTATATAGAGAGGCAAAAGATCCAGAATAGCCAGTACAATATTGAAAGAGAAGAACAAAGTTGGCAGATTGACATTCTTCAACTTCAAGACGTACTACAAAGCTACAGTCATTAAAACAGTGTAGTACTGATGAAAGAACAGGCAAAAAGATCAATGGAACAGAATAAAGAGCTCAGAAATAGACTGTTGTAAATATAGTCAACAGGTCTTTGACAGAGTAAAGGCAATACAATGAAGAGAAGATAGCATTTTCAACAAATGGTGCTGGGACAACTGAACATTTACATGCAAATATATGATTTTAGATGCAGACCTTACAACCTTTACAAAAATTAACTCAAAGGATCACAGAACTAAATGTAAAATGAAAAACTAAATGTAAAATGTAAAATGAAAAACTATTAAACTGCTAGAAGATAACACAGAAGAAAATCTAAATGACTTTGGGATTGGTGATTACAATGATTCTTAGAATAACACTGAAGACATAATCCGTGAGAGAAAGGATTATGAGACGGAGCCTTATTAAAATTAAGATTTTCTGCTGTGTAAAAGACATGGTCAAAAGAATAAAAACAGGCAAACTGGAAGAAAATATCTGGAAAAGACATAAACTGATAAAGAAGCATTATCCAAAATATACAGAGAATTCTTAAAACTCAACAATAAGAAAACAAAGAACTCAATTAAAAAAATAAGCTAAAGGCTTTAACAGGCACCTCACTTAAGAAGATATGGCCGGGTGCGGTGGCTCACACCTGTAATCCCAGCACTTTGGGAGGCTGAGCGGGGGTGGATCATGAGGTCACGAAATCAAGACCATCCTGGCTAACACTGTGAAACCCTGTCTCTACTAAAAATACAAAAAATTAGCGGGGCGTGGTGGCAGGTGCCTGTGGTCAGCTACTCGGGAGGCTGAGGCAGGGGAATGGCGTGAACCCGGGAGGCGGAGCTTGCAGTGAGCTGAGATCACACCACTGCACTCCAGCCTGGGCGACAGAGCGAGGCTCTGTCTCAAAAAAAAAAAAAGAAAAAAAAGAAAAAGAAGATATACAAATGGCAAATAAGCATATCAAGAAAAGTTTTAACATTATATGTCATCAGGGAAATGCAAATAAAAACAGTAATAAGATATTGTTATATACCTATTAGAATAGCCATAATCCAGAATGCTAATACAAACAAATATTGCTAAGAATGTGGAACAACCGGAACTCTCATTCTTTACTGGTAGTAATGCAAAGTGTTATAGCTACCTTAAAAGACAGTTTGGCAGCTTCTTAAAAAACTAAACATACTCTTATCATATGATGCAGTAATCACACTCCTTAGTATTTACTGAAAAAAGTTGAAAACTGATGTGCACACAAAATCTTGCCCATGATATTTATGACAGCTTTATTTATAATTGCCCAACTTAAGAGGCAACCAAGATATCCTTCAGTAGGTGAATGGATAAACTGTGGTACATTCAGACAATGGAATACTATTCAGCACTAAAAAGAAATGACCTATCAAGCCATGAAAAGACAGGGAGGAAACTTAAATGTATATTACTAAGTGAACAAGGCCAATTTGAAAAGGCTACATGCTGTGTGATCCAACTATCTGACATTCTTGAAAGGTAATGCTTTGGAGGCAATGAAAAGATTAGTGGTTGTCAAGGGCTGGGGGAGAGAAAGATAAATAAGCAGAACATAGAGGACTTTTAGGGCAGTAAAACAACTCTCTATGATTTTAAAATAGTAGATTTGTGTCATTAGACATTTGTCCAAACCCACAGACTGTACAACACCAAGAGTGAACCCTAATGTAAACTATCGACTCTGATTGGTGATGATGTGTCAATGTAGGTTCATCAATTATAACAAATATATTACTCTGTTGGGAAATGTTGATCTGGGAGAGGCTATGCATGTTCTAGGGCAGGGGGTATAATGGAAATCTTTATACATTCTGCCTAATTTTGCTGAGGACATAAAGCTGCTCTAGAAAATGGTCTAATAAAAAATTCAGATGGAACTTAGCCTTTTCCTTATTGTGTAGTTCATAATCACTTGTTTTCTAGACAAATTAACTCAAAAATGAGAGTAAAAAACATACATGCTACTTACTTCAAGTAGCTCTAGTAACTAAAGGTGCACATACCAACTAACCATTTTAAATTTATTCAGAATGTTTTCTATTTCCTCATTCTAAGATTATAGATACACTAACATTAGATAGAGCTTACTCAGTTTTTCTGAGAAAATTTTCTTAAGAGAATAAAGTCTATCTTCCATAAAACCTACAAATCATCAGAAATACTTAATTTTCTGTTAATTTTTAACAGAAGATTGCAAAATTGGAGCAGTACTTTTTGCCATAGGACTATCTTTTTCCTTGATATTAGGAAAATTAAATCAGAATATTTTCTCATTCTGCTTCAGAATGTAAATGGGAACTTAAAAAGTGAGGTATATGAATAGGTCATTTCTTCTTAACTTGCATGGCATAATCATCATTAATATCAACCCTCTTGTTCATGTACATTGAGGCTTGCACTATTTTTGTTGGATATACTTCCTCAGGCCAACCAGCTCCACCATGGTTGAGGTAATATTAATTAGAAACTTGACAATGCATAGCCAGGCACAGTGGCTCACATCTGTAATCCTTGAACTTTGGGAAGCCAAGGTGGGTGGATCACCTGAAGTCAGGAGTCTCTACTAGAGACTCTACTAAAACCCCGTCTCTACTAGAAATACAAAAACCAGCTGGATGTGGTGGCAGATGCCTGTAATCCCAGCTACTAGAGGGGTTGAGATAGGAGAATCACTTGAACCCAGGAGATGGAGGTTGCAGTGAGCCGAAAGCATACCACTGTACTCCAGCCTGGGCAACAGACCGCAACTCCATCTCAAAAAAAAAAAAAAAAAAAAAAAAGAAAGAAAAAAACTGACAATGCATAAATAAAATTGAATGATACTATGATACATGCAGCTATAAAAGCACTTACTAACACGTTTCTGAAAAGATATCTTGTAATTCTGGTACAAGAAAGAAAGCTTCCAACACTTATTTTATATATCTCTTAATTTGATCCTTTCCATTTATTTTTAAAATAAACTTTTTTGACTCTCAAAGAAATGCATGGTAATAATGGAAAAGTTGGATGACAATTAGAAGAAAATAAGTATGATTCAACCACTCCTAGACTACATGTGCTAATAACCAGAGAAGCGAGAGGAAAGACTATACCTCGGGAAGAGTGAGGCGAGGAAGAGAATGCCAGTACAACAGTACAGAAAGGACCTTCAGCCCAGTGCTAGAGTGCTCATGAAGCAATTGGGCTTTAAATTTTTTGAGATGATTGTTTTTCAGTTAAATGTTTTGTCCAAATCTCTTATATTTCAAAAGAAGAATTAGGGATTTTTAGTTCTTTTATTTAATTGGACTCTGTGGTTAATCACCTCCCTCCAGTGCTGAAGGGAGATGGTTTGCATGGGATTCGAGCCAAGGAAGTTGGTAAAAAGAGAAATGCCCTGCATCTACAGAGTGCTTCTTTGACAAGACTTACTGGGTTTTCTTTGTGTGGAGCACTGTGACAGGTAAAACTTCCTTACCTAGGAGTTGGATTAAGGCAAATTTAGAAGTGATTCCACATTGGCAGTATACAAGAGCAAAGAGCTCTGAGTGTTTTCTCAGAAATGCAGCCTGATTCTCAACATCATTTCTGGAACTCCGCCACCATCTTTAAGAGCTGTCATTTAAAACTTATCTTCCTCTTCCTGTAGGCAGGATAAATGACAGCTACTAATTCCAAGCACTGTCTTGAATACTCTCTCTGTTGAAGGCATCATGATGCAAATTTCTCTAGTCAATGGATTATTTTGAAATCTGTAGACATATTGTCTTAATAACACCAGGCACTGTAGGATAGAAAAAAACGATAAAGTTGAGTGATTGCATCAACAAAGCTTGCATGCCCATCATGTAATCAAATGCATCCTTTATCCTCTCTGACTAATTGGAGGCATCTTTATTCAGATTTTTTCAAAAGAAAATTCACAGTTCACAGAACTTAGGCTTTGGGTTTTGTTTTTTTTTCCCCACTCTCACTCTGAAGTGATACTCTTAAGAAGGGATGAGCTACTGTTAGGAAGTCAACAACCTATAAATGCTTGACCCATGAAGCTCCATCTTTTTCCTGACAGTCCATTAGGTGGAATCTAAGACACAGGAGTTTAAAATGTACTTGTCATAGTTAATGCACTGTCTGTAATGGTGGCCTGAAACACTTGTAGTTTTAAGATAATGTTTTGTCATTCTCTAGAAATAACTATAATACATTTATTGGAGCCATACACAATGGAAGCTTCAAAAGGATGTCAGACTGTCTCAGATCCCTTTCCTCAGAGGCAAGCTCAAATCCCCCAAGCTCTGTGATGCTGGCTCTCACCTGATGTGGAAGATTGCCATGTGCTGGGGACAGGGCAACAATTAAATCCCAATGCTTTTAGCTGCAGTGATTTGTTCAGAAATTAAGAGTGCTTTTACTTCTATTTTGTTAAAATGAGCTTTACATATATGAATTTTAATGAATTTCTTCCAAAATCTCAAAACACACAGACTCCATCCATTGCATTTCTAAGGCAGGCACCTGTGAGAACTGGGAGAGTCTATATGTTTTGGAAAAATATATTATTTTCTATCAATAATTTTCTATATCATGCTTTGGTTAGAAACATTTATCCTACAGAATTAATGTGCCACATTGTTAAAAACAAACTTTTCAAGAGGAACAAAGCTTGTCATTATCTAAAGAGAAAATGGGGAAGCTTTATGAATACAAATTAATTTCTGGGTGCAACTGCTCTCAAAATGAAATGAATTCACAAAGTATGCCTTAGAATTCATCATCTGAAGGTACCTAGGTTGGTTTACATATTAATCCACTTCCCTGCATCTCCCTTTGTGACCTAGCAGGCTTTAGTTATGCACAATGGCATAGAGACAGGCTGCTGAAAGGTCTGTTCTTTTAAAATGTCACTCCACACTGTGGAATATGTTTTATTAAGGGTAATGGGAAACGTGCACGTCCGGTGGTGAATTTGCTTTTCTTTCCTCAGATGAAATTTGAACACAGGCATAATAGGGAAATTTGTTGTTAAATTATAAGAGCAGAGTGAGCTGGAGCTGGGAGTCAGCCTCCACTCTAAACAGAGGACACCCTCCTTTCCAAATTCACAGGGAGGTTGACCATTACACTCTAGGATGGCCACTGTCTGTGACCAAGAATCACAGGGTCAAGATTGAGCACTGCTTCAGAAAAACCGAATTAACAAGCTAGGGAGGAAAGTTTCCAAGTTACCAAAAAGAAAACCCCTTTTTAAAAGCAATAATAATGATGCATTAACATGACTAATTTTACATGCTTTCATATAGATAATAATATGCAGGCAAAATCATTTGATTGAAAGCATAATGATTACTAAGAGTAAAACTCTGAAATAGCATGGATTACCTAAAAGGTGGGTGCTAGACTTTCTACCCAGCATTAGACCGTATAATGATTCTTCTTATCTTAGTAAAAGCCTTACTTTCACTAAGTAGTTTTTGATACCTAATGAACATGTATGACTTCTATTTCCTCTACTAAATTACCATGATTTCTAGAATACTAGGCTTTGGCATCCTACATAACTGTGATGGATTCCACACTCTGTTGTTAGTACTAAAGTGCCACCTTCATGGGTGTATGGCTTTATGTAATTTCATAAACTTCAGTTTTTTTAAATGAACCCCTCTGAAGGCATGGCTCAGAAGAGGATCCTGTGTTTGGGTTTTAATGTTTTACAGTTGCTGTCTTGAAATTCATCATAAAGTTATCTTTGGATTTGTGACTTAAGTGAAGTCTGATAAGACAATGGCACGTGCACCAAAGATTTGGAGCCTCAGTGCAGGTGTAGTCCTACCTCCCACAATCTCCACATCTCCCTAGAACTGATTCTCAGCTGCCTGTTCCCTCTTCCCCTGCTAACCAAATCTTACCTAGGTTTTCCCTCCTATCCCTGCCTTGTGGCCACTGCTATTTTCCGCCCCTGGAGAGGCTTGGGCAGGCTAAGGCCAGTTTGGGCTTTTATGTCCAATGCAATAAGCTTTAGGGCAGGGCTCCAGGTTCTGGGCACCTATTAGAGTATACATGTATCACCTGAGTATCCTTATGCCCAAGCCCGGGCAATATTCAACAGCAAATAAAAACACTATGACAACTTGAGAGAAAGACACTGATAAAGAAAAGGAAAAGATGTTGTTTGCTTTTTGAGTAAGGGGGGGGTCCACATTTTTTATCTCGCACGTGACCCCACAAATTATGTAGCCAGCCCTATTGGTATGATCTTGTACAAATTATGAAACCTTTATAAGTCTCAGTTTCCTCATCTGGAAAACGGGAATTATAATGACACCTATGACGTAGAATTATAATGGGAATTCAATTTTTTAAAAAATGCATATAAACAGTTTAACATAGAACCTGGTACACTGTAGAGGACTGAAAACATTTATTATTCATTTCAAAAGTTATGAAATAAATAAGAATATACTTTGATTTCACATACTTATGTAGACAACAGAGAAGAAACTTGTAATTTAGTGTATCTCAGGAAATCCAGGGTCTATATTAAGAACACTTTGGATCATAATTTCTCAAAGTTAAACATACCAAATTAAAATGAATGTTTTCAGGTAAGACCTTGGCATGTAAAGAAAAACCAAGAGAATCTTCCATTAAAAAAAAAATTGTAAAATGTTGAAAACATCCACATGGAGAGAACTTTTGGCACAAAGTCTATGGATTTAGGGTGTTCAACCCCAAAGACTGTCTGTGCAGCCCTTGGTTACAAAGACTACTTCATTATCTACGATTAGAAGACACCAAAGGAAGGTGTTCCAGCCTGTACTGTAACTAGTCTCTAAAAGCAATTTATACAGAGAAAATGAACAGTGGAGGAGAGGTTAAAGAAAAAGAAGGCCATACAAGATTTGGTAACTTCCACGTAGAAAAGCAAAGTGTTCACTTTAAAGTTTTGTGGGAGGCTGGGCATTATGATTCATGCTGTAATCTCAGCACTTTGGGAGACTGAAGGAGCAAATCGCTGGAGCTCTGGAGTTCAAGACCAAGATGGACAACATGGCAAAACCCAAAAAATTAAAATTAAAATAAAAAAATTAGCCTGGCTTGGGGAGGCGGAGGTTGCAGTGAGCCGAGATCGCGCCACTGCACTCCAGCCTGGGCGACAGAGCAAAACTCCGTCTCACAAAACAAACATACAAACAAACAAACAAATTAGCTGGGCTTCGTGGTGCATTGCCTATAGTCCCAGCTACTCAGGAGGCTGAGGTGAGAGGATCACCTGAGCCCAGGAAGTTGAAGCTGCAGTGAGCTGTGATTGTGCCACTGCACTCCAGCCTGAGCCACAAGGCAAAACCCTGTCTCAAAAAAAAAAAAAACAAAAAAAACAAAAAAAAACAGACAGAAATGGGAGGGCACATGGGGGTAAGGGGCAGGGTATGGAATTAATCTGTTAAGTCTAAGTATGCCCCCTACTGAATCTCAGAAGTCATTTCATACTCTATCTCATCCTGAGTATTTCCTTATTTAAAACAAAACTACTTTGCCCCTCAAGAGAACACATACTCTTCAGAGGCATTCAGAATAAACCAGACCCTCAGGCAAGACATTCTTCTGCAGCAAAATCAGGGCAACCACTGGTTGGTGGAGCTCTAGGTTCTCCCTGCTTCTTGGCCAGCTGCCCCTTAAGGATACTCTACAGGCAAACTCAAGATGCAATAAGGTTGTGACTCCTTTTTCATTCTCATTCCCACTGTTGCTAGACTACAATAGTCAGAGGATGGAATCAACTATTTCATAATCTCAATTTATACATGAAGTTCATAAAAAATACCTAGTGTGATAAAAGCAAGAAAAACAGAAAGGACTTTGCCCTAGAACACATCTGAGATAAAAAAGAATAAACGTAATATTCAGAAATTATTTTCCCTGAAGTCAAATGAATGTCTTGTTGAAATTCATATCTCCCAGTGTGATGCTTTCAGGTGTATTGATTTTATTTCTGTTATATTTCTGTGCTCTGCCTACTAATTGTAAACACATATCTCTCTTTTAGATTTTTAAGGTCTTGAAATACAAGTATCATTTTTTGTCTCCAGCTTTATTGAGATATGCTTAAGAAATTCAAATTGTATACATTTAATGTGTATAACTTGATGCTTTGATACATGCATACATAGTGAAATGACTACCACAAGTGAGCTAATTAGCATACCCATCACCTCATACTGTTACCATGTTTTGTGTATGGTGAGAACACTTAAGATACACTCTCTTATTAAATTTCAAGTATATAATACACTATTATTATCTATAGTCACATGCTGTACATTTGATCTTCATAGCTTATTCATCCTATATAACTTTTTACTCTTTGACTAACATCTTTCTATTTTCCTCAGCCCCCAGCACCTGACAAACACCAGTATCATCTGCTTTTATGAATTTAACTTTTTGAGATTCCATATATACCCTTCTGTGCCTCACTTGTTTTACTTGGCATAATATCATCGGGATTCATCCATGTTGTCTCAATGGTAGGATTTCCTTTTTTAAAGCTGAATAATATTGTACATATACATACCACATTTTCTTTATGCATTCATCTATCGACAGAGACTTACGTTGTTTTTATATCTTGGCTATTGTGAATAATGCTGCAATGAACATGGCAGTACAAATATCTCTTTGACATACTGATTTCATTTTCTTTGGATATATACCCAGAAGTGGGATTACTGAATCATATGGTAGTTCTATTTTTTATGAAGAATTTCCATACTGCTTTCCTTAAGT